TGTTTAATGTCGCTTTATTGTGTTGAAACTCCTTAAAGAAACTTCAGAGTTACAGGTAGAAGTTCTGCAGGGAGCGAGCTAAAAGTTAATCTTCGGCCACAACAACAAAACTCTTGTTAAAATCTCACAGCGGGATTAACTGAGTCATAATAAGTTTCTTGTTTGACACAGACAGCCCTGTTGTTGACTCTCTGACTGTCAGTGCAGCTGTCGGACTCACCGGTCATCTGTCTCTCTCTGCACAAGTGTTACTGACACACTGTATAATGATTTACTGTTAACTGGGAAGTTTGGTACTTCTGCTCTTATGTAGAGAAAGTTTGTTTCTTTTATTTATATATATGTTGTTTAGTTTTGGTTCGGACTTCCTAGTGTGAAAAGGAAAGTATGCGGTAACCAGTGGTTAATATTCTGAGTGTTTGTAAGAATAAAAACGTGTGGTTTAGGTTTCTCTGACACATATTTATTATTTGTAGCTGGTTTGGGATCCGACACCAAGCTGGTAAAATACACAAATGTCTTCTTGTTTTTATTATTAACGTACAAAACACTCAGATGGGTATTTTACTGTTTTATTGGTTTGTAAAACTTACATTTTAGTTCTTTTCAATCTCTCCTGTAGTTATATTAATATTTTAAAAAGTTTTTTTAGACTTCTTAAAACCTAAATGAATCTGATAAGCGATGGATAAGATGCATAAAAATAATATTAAATTCAAATCCCACTACGTTGCAGTTGTAATTTGGAGGTGCTATTGTCACTATTGGGCCACAGTTACACCTCTGACCTGATCCAAACTGGTCCTCAGTGAATATCATCTCCTAATTGTCAACATTAAACATATTTAGGGTTCTTCAGTTGTGAGTTGAGGCTTCGCTGTGATAAACATTAGTGCATTAAAAGGTAGTCCGTGAGTTCAAACACCAGGACGTGCAGCTGAGTCTCCTCTCGTCAGCCGCTCGATGCAGCCTCGTGTCGTGGGAACTTAAGTAAGTGTAACAACCGGTTCTGTATCTTAACTGCCTCATTCCCTGTAATGGTAGACAGATGTACGCAGGCCCACTTCATGTTGAAGCTGCTCAGTGTTGTGGACCGGTGGAAGTACAAATACCAATACAACAGTGTAAACAAACGGGTACTCACTCTGCGGTAAATAGATTATTATAGATTATATTAGACTGTTAATGCTGATGCATCAGTGTAGAAATACTCAAAGTACAAGTACCTCAAAAGTGTACTTAAGTACA